TAATGATCATTACTTTATTTTTATACATGTAAATAGCAGGTTTCTGACAAAATCATTGCATATGGCTTAAAAAAAAAAACAGAAAGAACAATGTGGATTAACGATTGAGTATTTTGGGAGCAGAGGGAGCAATAGTTCTCAGAGCTGAAGATATTTTTCAAGAGTTTGTTTCAAAATGATGGTTTGACAATTAACAAAGGTATACTGAGTGAGGTCAACTACAAGAGGATTTTAATAAAGGGGGTAAGTTTCAAAAGAAACTGTGGTGCTGCCTCATTGGGAGAATATAACAGGGTAATTAAGTATCATCAACTGAGTTGATAATGTAAAATGGCCACCATACCATGAAGAGTTTTAAAGCTGATGTTTCAAGCATTAGCCCCTCGCTCTGACAGAGGGCTAGCACTAGAAACATCAGCTTTAAATGTCAGTGGCCATTCTTTCATTATCAACTTAGTTGATCCTACTAAATTACCCCACAAGGATTTGCCTGTTTTAAGAATCATTCACTCCAAAAAATTGGCGTGGAACTCTGACTCTGTTATTTGCATCCTTCATTTTTTTTCAAATCTAAGTTAATCTAAAAAGACACCAATCAAGTTGACATGATTGTCCAACTTTCAACAGAACCTGCTCTGAGTAAAATAACTACAGAAAGACTTTCCCATGTAAATGCTCTTTACCAAGTACATATTTCAAAACTCTGCAACACTGTTCCTAATCTTGTGGGTAAGATTATTACATAACTATTAAGGTTACCTTTCCTGAGTATTTACTACATCCAAATTATAAAAAAAAAAGACTGCCAAGTCACTCAGGTCATTGCTGACATCTGTACAATTAACTCCACAAGTTTACAGTTCCTACCCTAAAAAATATCTGATCCTTATCTACTTTTAGGTAATAATTATTTAATAGAAAGTTGAGGAGGAAACTGTATTTCCCCTATCATAAAAGTATATGTACATGTACATGTACATATACACAATGAGTATATAAAAAACTTCTCAACCCTGATTTTGGTGAACAAATTGGATTACAAAGTTAAAATAGTGTAATTTCCGGTCGTTTACCCGCACAGCCGATTACCCGCACCGGCCGATTATTGCATAAGGCGGAAGAAAAAGTCAACAGATTACCCGCACTGGTGGATAACCCGCACGTTATGTTATTCAACTTTTTGGTGGCGAAAACGTGACATTAAGGTGATACATTTCAGTCTTTTAAAAGTTGTCTGATCCAACTTTCGAAAACTTGAAAGCGTCTTTGTCGAGTTTAAAGGTCTAAGAAATTCAGACGCGTGCACAATTCTGTGTCAATATTAGCATGTACTTTATTGATAAGATTATACAGTAAAAACACTAGCAGACCATGCCCAAATCTCAACGTTTCATACTTGACAGAATGCGAATTTGTGGTCACATTTTGTGCGAGCGATCGTTCGGCGCCATATTGATTTGTTGAAAAAAAGCTGGGTGAGTATTAGAACTTGAATTATAAATTACTGTCGGCGATTTCTGAAAAAAATTGATTGCTCCGGTTCTATTGGGCTTAACAAGTCCCTTAAAACGGAAAAATTCTCTTTAGCTCAAGCTGGTGTTAAATGGAAATTTGTTACTGATGCGCCGGATATCTTTAATTAATTTAACTAATTATGCGTGAAATAAACTCGAGTCGGCATCATGTTTTCGTGCCGCTTTGCGGCACTCTTAATACAATAAAATTCATTTGAGAGGTGGAAACGCATGTTAGTGATAATTTTTTCAATTCAACTACCACTAGATTTTAAAATTGTCACATAACCCGCACCTCCCTATTACCCGCAGTGGCGCGCGTTTAATGCAAAATCAACAGATTACCCGCGGGTTAACGACCGGAAATTACGGTACATACAATACAATACGAATATATATGTTTAAACAAAATGAATTTTGAATGAATTTTTAAACTGCCCTATTTTATTTAAAGATATATAATTTGAATTGTATTGTATGTATTTTAATTTTGTAATCCAATTTATTCACTGAAAAGCCCCAGATGAGGATGTGCTCAATAAATATATGTATGTATTTGGTAATGACTATTCATGTTTCCATCAGCTTTTACACGCAGATGATAAATAATCACACAAACAAGAACAATTCTAAGGAAATGAACTGAAGTACACGTGAACACCCTGCTGTTGTAGCTACATTAAGATAGAAAAAAAAAACTATCCCACAGAAGATATATGTAACATAGCTCTCACCAGATACAAGATTCACCATTTTCGCAACAAGACTTTCACACTGTCTCTGCCAGCTGTACTTTGCTGCATACTCTTCGCGAAGAAGAGTGGCTTCTTCAAGTCGCACCATCCTTTTTTTCTGACGGATGACACTGATGGCTTTGGCCCATTTTTTAGGATTCTCTGAATGAATTACACACAGGGAACCACCAGGAACTTCCTCCAATGCCTCTCCAAGTCCAGAGTTACCACTTACAAGGACAGGCAGGCCAGCGGATAGGGCTTCCAGCCCAGTCAAACCAAATCCTTCAGTTCTTGAAGGCATGATTGCCAGATCAGCTTCACAGAATAAATTGGCTAGCTGTTCTTGATCTTCTTTGAAGCAGCGAACAGTTAGTTGAGAACGAGGAATGCCATACTTACGCAACTTACGTGCCACTTTTTTCTCTTTTCCTTTTGGTGCACCAACAAACTTTAGCTGGTATGACCTGTCTTCCAATTGAGCAATTGCTTTCATTGCGATATCAAATCCTTTCAGCTTAAAAACTTCATGGTCACCACACCCAAAAACTAGAACACAAAAGTTCCTCCTTTCTTTTAAGGCCTGTTCAACCTTACAAAACTCAGTAAAAATACTTGGAGTGAGGTTGAATACATGCTGATCTTTCTTGCAGAAGCGAAGGTAGCCAGAGTAAGCATCTGCCAGCTTTGGTCCAATTGCAACCACCTCATCAGCTAACTCACAAAGTTGTACTTCTACACTATGTTTCTTCTCACCTCTGAAAATGGCTTCTTCATAACTTTTGAACATTCCAAGTTCTTCTGGAGCTGTGTGAACAACCTGGATCCACTTGCAAGGTTGATGCTTTTGAATGTGTGGTATCTGTCGACCCAGATGTACTCCATGCCCTATGATACAATGCGGATGATGGCCATTAGGTAAAGAAACCAACCAATCAATTGGCTGATCATAACCAGGCAATTCTTGGGCTTCAATCAGCTGAACTTTATGGCTACTGGCAGCTCTCCTGTCCTCATCACTACATCTTGGAAGATAAACACTGACATCAACATTAGGATGTGTTGCTAACTGAATTGCCAGCTCCCTGTTAATAGTTGATAAGCCTCCTTTAGATGACCTCCACTCACTACCTAACAGAGTAACTCTTATTGCTTCACTTTCCATCAAACTTGGGCTTTCCTGTGATGTAGAGGCTACACCAAGAAAGGATGATTCCTAAAATAAAGTTTAATAAGTGTGAATAAAGACAAATCACAAGCGATGAAGGATACTATGCAATAACATTTTAGATTCAACAGGGTTGTTAAAAGACCAGACTATTTAGCTCTGGTGTCTTTGTGAAATGTGATCAAAGACAGAAAATAAATATTTTTGAACATGTTTCTAACATCAATGTCTGGCAAAAAACAGGTCACTCAAATGTTCCCAAAAACGCTAGACTGGCTAGTGGGGGTAGGGGAAGGGTAAGAAGACACCAGCCTGAAGAGGCTGTTAAAAGGTTTGAAGGTTTCCCTGTCAAAATTTCTTTCATCGAACCAACACCTGAAGACCCAAAAATAATATCAGGCTTTTCCCAAAAACAGCAACATGGCCAGCAGATCCTTTCCAGAAATCAGTGTAGAAATTGCTTCTCTTTGTTCCAATTTGAAAGCACCAGACTT